GTGGGGAGCGTGGTGGGGGCGGGGCCTCCAGGTAGGGTGGCAGCGCCAGGTGCAGACTCAAGCCCCGCCCCCCCCACCCGCATATAGTTGAATTCGTGCAAGTTAAATGCGCATATGATGCGACATGCCTGTATACTAACCTGGGTAAAATAGTCCCCAAGGAAAACAAACCAAACCAAACCAAGCAGAACAGAATAGAAATTTAATGGAAATTACATTGCTGTTTCTATCTAGCAGGCATTGTATATCATATTTCTGTTGCCTTCCTCACACTGGCTCTCTGCTATGTTCAGACTTACTTATTAATGCTTATTCCTGCCCATTGATCAAGTGAATTTATCCCTCTTTTGAAATGGAATGCCTCTTACACAGTATCTAGAAGGAATCTTTGACCTTTCTCCCATTTGCCCTTTTTGATCTGAATACTGGTGCCAGAATCTGACAGATTGCCATTGGCCAGCTTCTCACACCAGTTGCTCCTTCACATTTTCAGCCCTCTGTCATTGAAAGAAATGTTTCCTGACATATCAGAAATACCCAGAGGTAGGAGGATTTTTGCAAGCACAGAAGTTTCATTTCCTTGGTAGTAAAACAGCGAATCAGAAGTTCAGTCCTGTAAATCTTTAAGCATTTCTATTCTGGAACCTAAATTCAGACTACGCCCACTGAAATGCAGTGTTTGGGTTTATTCTGTGGTTTGTTTTAAATGTAGGAAACTTTGTTAAAACCTTTAGTTTAGACAGAAAACCAGGCAAACAAAACCAAACCAAACCAAACCAAACCCCTCTCCTTGCTTTTCTTTCTGTCAGTGTTCTTTTGATTCCCTTCTTTAAAAATGCCTTATGCTACTGCCCCTCATTTGGCATTTGTATTGTGAAGAATCCAGTTAAATGCATTCTTCTCCAAAGAATGCACTTTTCATTTTCCAGAGACCTGGAAATACTAAGCCATACACTAAAGCATAGTAAAGGCCAAGAGTCTGTATTTTAATAAGTTAGAAGAAATCCAGATGTTATAAACACCATGGAGTCAGTGGAATGTTAACAAGTTAATATATTTTTAAGCCAATACAAGTGCACATATAAAAACCATTTAATACCAAGTGGAAAACCATTAGATGCACCTACTAATGCTGATTTTTGGTTATTTTCACCTATTTCACTGTATCTTGAAACTATATTCTTCATTTCAGTTACACTGGGCAAGAAGTGAAACTGATCTACTATAGCAGGGAAAACACTGGCTTTTTTGTAACAGGGAATGACAGCACCACTGCAATCGGTACTCTTCCGGAGGGCAGCAGAAATAGGTAGGCTGTGTACCACAGACCCACTTACTAAGTTATACTACAGGTAACCGGATGCAAATTTGCTATTGGTTTTGAATAGTAAAGCTCAGTAAGTGCATCTTTTCTGTACAAATAATATTAAAGTGACAATACAGAAAACTGGCAAATAAAGATGGTATAAAATATACACGTATGATACATAATTATAGGCCATGATGGCCACTATATAATCTATTTAGGGGCAAAGCTTTAATTGCACAGATTGGAGAACTGAACACAGAAGCTTTCATAGAGCAAAGCACAAGCTTTGGTTTATGCTTAATTAAACAGTTGAACATCAAACCCTTCATCTTTACTACATAATTTATACTGAAAAAATGGCTCCTTTCATTGCTGCACGCAAGAACAGTCGTTTCTCTCTATAAATAAGTACTTCTTCCCACTCAGGGAATTGAAGTTCAGTGTCTTACCAAATGCACTGATTAGCTGCATCAATATTGGGAAGGTATTTAAATAGACTTATGAAAATCTACTGAATTAAAAAAATTCAACTTCATATTTCCTTCACAGTCTCCCCTCAGCGTTTAAAATGCTGTATATATAAAAATAATTCCAATATGGCACAAGAACAGGATTAAAGGGGGAAAATATTTGCATTGACCAAAAAAAAACAAAAAACAAAAAACAAACAACAGTAAGTCACATCAACATTCCACAAAGATTTGTGGCCCTACACAAAGTGAGCTTCCCTGTGTTCTAGTTCTTGTATACGTTTTGGTCGCAGTCTCTGATAAGGGGGTTTCAGGTCTGCCTGCTGAATGTCCTCTGAGCTATTTTTTTGTTGATCTGTGTTTTGCTCAGTAGCACCTGAGGCAATGGCTGGATTTTTAATTTGTTTCACAGTGTTCTCCTGGGCAGGCAAAGAGCTCACACTGGTTGCACAAACTCTGGTGGCAGAACTCTCCTCATTTTGTTTGGCCTTGTAATTGGAAGGAGGCTTATAAAAAGTCCCTGGTGGTGGCTGCAAAGTTCTTGGTGCCCTGAAAGCAGCAAGAGGATTAGCATCTGGAGCATTCCCTTCTGATGTCACCCTCACTGATCTGACAGGGACATTGTATGGCTTATTGGGAGGAACAGCACTGGTGGAATTATTACCAGTGCTGCAAGTTGAAGAGGAAGTGCCTGCACTTCCACACTCTGGTGCTCGGTGCTCTTGGGGCACGTTGGTCACAATCATTGCTGTCCTCGCAGTTATATCATATTGTTTATACTGCTTATCCCAAGTTTTCCTCAGAGTCTGCGTGTCGTAACAAGAGAGCCTGCAACAGGCACTAATGGCAGGAAGTGCCTTGCTTTCTGAAACTTCTTCAATAGTAGGACTCCTGCCAAGCTTTTCTGGGCTTGAAACACCTACGTTCCGTGAGTTTCTCTCATTCAGAACACATGGAGGAAGAATTCTCTCCACAGGCAAACTCACAGGGCGAATGACTGGCTTTATCCTTGGAGATCGCAACTGAACTTTGGTTATTTGACGATTAGGTTTTACAGGCAACAAACTGACTTTGCAGCCATCCTCGGCTAGAGCGCGAGACTGCTCACTATCTCCCTCTGAAACAGGAGTCTCAGCATTGCCTAGGAAACACAAACAAGGATTACTTCATTATTTTCACACCATACACCTAAAAACTGTAAAGAATTAGCATCAACCATGAAGGATCAGCAGGGCTTCTGCCAGCCTTACTGTACTGGCCAGGATATGATGAAAAGCAATCTCTGACCCACGTAGCTCTGCTGGCTGAAGCCTACTGCCAATGCAAAATTATGCTTTCACTTATGCACCTTGTTCAACCTGGGGTGGGGTGGTTTTACCATCCTGGTGAAAAAAGGCAGCTTTGTCACTAGCGTTCCCTCTAAGCTACGTGGCGTGCATGGCCGTGCAGGCATGCTCATGCCACGCTGCCAGGTGCGCCTGCACGGCTGTGCACACCATACAGCTTAGAGGGAATGCTGTTTGTCACTACAGCTGTATCCATTTTTTCTGGTTTAATATACTGGCATT